GCAGTCTGACACCTTTGAACAGGGCGTGAATGTAGGCTTGCTTCGCATCGGCTTGCGCCTTGCGGTAGCCGGGCTGCGACCCAAAAGCGTCGAGGATCTTTGCTGCCTCCATTGACGTTGGGCTGGACCCGAGCTCCGCAAATAATGCTGCAACGGAATTTTCGTCATACACGTTGTTTTGTTGGAAAACGGTCCTTTGAATTTCTTGTTAGGATCATCATCGGGAAGCTCGCTACCCTTTTCGTAACATGCTTCGAGAATCCTACCAATGTGGACCTTTTCCCCTTTGTTCTGGGCTTCTCTGATGACTCGTCTACATTCATCCACTCTGCCCTCATCCCAAGCGCCTTTCCTTCGAAGGTTTTCCCATTCCTTGTCAAGAGAAGCCTGGGCCTTAGGCGTGTTGGCTACTTCGGCCTTTGGTACTAGTCTGGCTACGACTGCACTGAACAACTCAAGAGCAACGTCAAACTCAATCTTCTTGATTCGCTCTTTGACCAACTCACGCAGTTGCGGACGACGCTGCTCTTTCGTTGGCTTGTCACGTTCCGGAAGAACCGACATCGCCGGGGCAGGCCGAATCACAGGCATCGTTGGCTCGCCCTCGCGCGGGCAGCGATGGTTGGCTTTGCACTCGATGCAGCGTCAGGATGCTCGGACCTGGCCTCGGTCGACACAGTGGTCCCGAGCACAGCCTTCTTTGCATCTGCACGGAGCTGCTCTTCATACTGCTGGGTAAGGGCCTTTCGGTCCTGGCTGCCGAGCATGACCCACCTTCGGATTGCCCGATGCGGCGGGTTCCTCGATCTGGGCTTGCCCATGCTCCAGCGACACAGGGTCACTTCGTGCTTTGGCATCGGCAACAGGTGGATGAGATGCAGGGTCTTTCAACAACCTCATCGGAAAGATGAACTCATCAGTCGGAAGCTCAATGCGCTTTGTCCGCTGTACCGTGAGGGACGCATGTTCGATATGGTAATCGAGCCCTTCTAGCTTTGCAACAAGGAATTCACCTTTCCATGACCCGAGAAGCACGTGCCGGGTTGTTCCAGAACAGTACCTTTGCTCCGAACGGTATCTCAGCTTCATCAAAGGTCTTATGAAACCTGAGGTACCATGGCGAATCGTTTCCGTTCAGGATGTTGGTTGCAACTGCATTGTGCTGAATGGCAAAAGGCCACATCGACAGTGGGAATCCTGACTGAACAAGGTTCGCACGTGCTCCCTCCAACAGATGTCTGATCTCCCTTTCGACGAACGATTTGGAGGAATCAACATATTCGATGGAGGTCTGGTGACGGTACCCCAACTGCTCTATTGCGGCTTTCAATTCCCGGGAGTTATCGGTGTAGAGAACCTCAACCTCATCCCTACCGGAAATGAAATGCTGGATCCCTGCAACGGATTGCTCCGTGTTCTTGCTGGTCGATGGATACACGTACCTGAACTGCGTACGCACGTCCTTGATCACAAGGGCACACCATTCACATTTGATGCCGGGCTCGACGTTGGCCTTGACAATCACATGATCAGCAATGATGTGATCTCCAAACGCTTTCGTCTCGAGCCTTCCCTGCCCACCTTTGGATCTTGCATATGGGGCAAGCATCTTGGGCCTGGGACGTTGGCATGCGCGGCCAAAGGGATTCTTAGGATAGTGTGCGAACAAGTGTTCTTTGATACTTGCTTCGACAACCAGATCTTGCTCTTTGCGGGATCTCACAAACCGCTCAACTTCGTCGTCAGGGTCATCACCTTTGTCGAGGCCTTCGTCATGAACCGGTTCAGGCGCTGGCTTGGAGGCAGCCGCTGCACTCAACGATGGCTCCGCTTCACAGCTAGAATCCATGCATGGCACATGAAAATCAACGTTGAGATGGATAAGGGCACCATCAGGGCAAACCATGGTTGGTGCCTTCCCGTGAAAGGAGTGTCCTTGGTCCAAGCACCCAAGGATAGCACTGCGGGAGAGCTCTCAAGGCTGTAAGGCTGCGCAGGCTCACACAATGCATCGACATTGATGTCGGCGATTTCGGAAGCAGTGATGTTTCCGTTTGCAGTTACAAGGCGGATAGGCTGCTTTGGATGCGTTCCTCAGAGCAGCTTTTTGGATGAGGTCCTACTCACTGCCGGAATCAATGAGCCACACGTCCTTTCCCTTTGGGGCAGGAGTGGCTGCCCTCGGCGCTTCGACACTTTTGCGGACATCGTGAGGCGGCATGGCAATTCCCAAGCACTCGTCACAAGACAGGCTTGAGATGGAATCGGATTCCACATCGCACATGAAACCACAAGCCGGCTGGGCTCCATTCTCAATGGCTTTGATCACGGAATTCAACTGGTTTGCGGCCTTGCGTGCTGCCTTGTTCGTACCTTTGGGTGGCCTGGGGCAGTCCTTTGCACTGGGAAACATCCTATTGTACTGCCGGTCCTCATATTCGAGCTTGAAGCCCTTTCGGCGGGAATCTCATGCGCATGAGCTTTGGTGTCAAAAGACACTCCTACCGGATCGATCAGCTTTGCGAACATGGCGTACCTTGCGCAGACTGCAGCGGCTTTGGCCTTCGGCTTAGGCTTCGGTGAATTTGCACGCTTCTTAGCCGCAGGGTTAGCATTGGCCTCATTGCTCGACGCCGCAGCAGCTGACTTGCCGCCTGTGGAGGCATGGCTAAACTTGCATTTGTCACCTCTGGTGCACTTCCCTTGCACAAAGAAAGAACACGGTGCTTTGTCTCCCTTATTGCCTTTGGGGGAACTTGGCCTGCCACGGGTCGCAGAGCGTCCTCGCGGCTCCTTGCGGTACGCGTAAGGGCATTTTGCCCCTTGTGCACGAGCCCTTCTGGAAGTCAAAACAGTACTTCTCCTCGGCATCCTTCGGCTTAGGTGCGCTTTTCTTCTTGGGATCCTTCTTTTCAGGGGCAGCGGCACCGGCCTTAGGCGTCGGGGCTTTACTGGCATTGACCTTGGACACGCGCTCTCGGTTCTCGCGAAGCCTATCCCTCTCAATCAGATCCCTCATGCAACGCATCAAGAAATCATACGATTTGTTGGGATCATCGTCACGGCAACGATCATATGTGTCAATGTCATACCGCAAAAGATGGCAGCTTCTCACTTGGCGAAGCAAAATGTCTTTCAACACCTTCTCTTCGGGCGGCTTTTTCATGCCAGCAATGACAGAATCCCAAGCGTTTAGGCATCGCTTGAGATCAATGATCCCTTCGCCGCGCCGCGAGACACGCAACAGATCCTCCAAGGAGTAGAGGTTTCCGGCTTCTTCACTGGTCTTGAAATATTGGTCAAACATAAACAGGACCTGCCTTCCCCTCATTGTCTTTCCCTCCTTGGCACATTCTTCTTTTGCCGTCAGAATCCGCTGAGCCAGATCGCCCTTCGCGGAGCGCGTGAGCGCTGCGAGAATCTTCGTGTCAAGAGTCACGAATTTGACGGGATCACCAAGCTCTTCCAACAGCCTTGTCTTGTCCTCGCGATCGGACCAAACTTCCACGATCCAAGGCCAAGCCTCGTCTGGTCGGTCGGATGCGGCACGGACGTCTTCACGAACTGACGTTTTCCACTCACGGTACGTTTCAGGAGTTGGCATCTCCTTGAATCGCAACACCTCGCTTTCGCGAGTTCTGGGTTTCTCGTCGCTCGTGTGACCCTTTACCAACTTCATTAGCATCTTAGCGAAGGCTTCTTGGCCGAGGTTGGGCCCAAGGCCATCACCTTCGTCCTCGTCGCCTTCGCCGTCGCCATTCCCATCATCACCGGGTGGCGGACCGCCAGGGGGCTTCCCTCCCTGCTTGCGGTCAGTTGGCATTGGCCCCTGGGAGAAATGCAGGGGCGGCACTGGTGCACTTGTCTTGGTCGGGGACCACTACCTGATGGCTGCTCTGCAGATCCCTGCGGACCGCAAACGTTGGCTTTCAATGCTTCACGTTCGGCAGGTGGCATGATGCTTGGAGAGTACTCCGCTTCGTAGCCATCATTAGTGACAAGCGACCTCAACTTTTCCTTTGCATATTGAAACGGATTGGACAACGGGTCCAGAATTGACTTCTGAGACCGGGCCGATTTCATGTCATCGGTCATCAGTTCTGGCGAATCCTCTCAGGTATCGCCTGCCCCTTTGGGCTTCGATCTCTCCTCGCGGAGGTCGTGTCGCTTCAGTTGCTGGTTGAGCTCGTCGAGCTCCTCCTGCAGAAGCGTATTTTGGTAGGCCATCATGTCAACATTCCCAGCGTTGGTCGCCTCGACACGTGCAATGTCATCAGCATGCTTTGCGGCTTGCTCCTGGAGGAGCTGCTGAGCATCTGCTAGGGTGGCTTCAATGGCTTGTCTAAATTCACTTGCTTTACGTCTCATCTCCACTTGATGCAATGCTTGGTCGTTTTCCTCACACATATGGCTTATCCTAGCTTCAGTGAGGTTCACTTCTTGGTTGAACTCATCGCTCACTCGCTGTTCGTATTCACGAATTCTACGCGACTGGGCTTGCACACACTCAGCGTAATGCGCATGCAGCTGGTTCTGTGCGACACGGAGCTCCTCACGGTTTTCCGCTTGCAAATGCGTTACAGCTGCTTGATGCAGTGCCTCGGCTTCAGACCTAATAGCTGCATCATTCACAAAAGCAAATATAGCGGTATTGTACAGTTAAGGAAATTCATCAGGGTACGGTTGTAATGCGCATTAGCGCTTGACGCGAACATTCGCGCACCGTTGCCAGCGGATTGGTCGGAACTGACTCCGGCTGCGTCCACAGGCATGTTGGATCCGTCAACTGGTACAAGGGAACCGTCCATTGCTTTGAGCTAGGGGCCTACGGCTGATAACCTATAGATTCAAGGGTTACCGGTTTGGGGCCCAAAAGGAAACAACAAACCGTCCAAGTGCGCTGCTCGCACATTTTCTCGCTTGAACAGCCACACTGCGGATGCAATTGATGTTAAACCCCAAACTGACCGAATGAATTCTTCAGATGCAAGTCCGGCTTCCTCGAGTCCTGGGCAGCTGTCACCCCCGAGGCGCATGGCCTGAAGCACCAACTTTGCCGCTATGCGCACGTGATTTATGAAATGCCATCACTGCTGCACATATGGCAAGCCTTCTCCAGCAACCTGATGCCCTCAGCGACGTCACCGCTCCTGCAAAGGAAGTTCTCCCAAGAATTGCCTGCACACTCAAAGTGCTTCACCTTTGGACAACCGGGCAAACCGCCCAGGGCATCGTTGGGGCGGCCCCGTTTTTCGTGGGATGTCCGTTTCGGGCCGTCCCGTCCCGTTGGGTGGTCGGTCCTCAGAGCTCGCTCGCCCAGAGCACGGCACTGCAGCACATCCTCCCGGCGATCCTCTCCTGCCCAGGCGTCGTCCTAGGGGCGGAGACAGGACCGGGAGGTTTCCACGACACCTCTGGACACCTCTGAACCTTACGGCCGAAGATGATGGGGCAAGTCAGTCCTCAGTCTCGAAGGGCTCATCATCACCATCCTCCTACGCAGTGTTTGCGCTCAGCTCCCTTTCCTGTGAAGAGAGGAACGTCGTGAAAGTCGAGCGCGTTGTCGCCAAACTTGCTCCGAGCGTGAAGCGCAAGAGGGGAAGGATGGGTGTTCAAAGGTACAAATGGTATGAGAAGTGGCCTGCATGCTTCAACTCGTTGTCCATGGCATTCTAACAGAGCGCTGCAACACGAAGATCAAATCAAGGCTGAGGGGAGGGCGAAATGCCGCAAACTGAGAATTGAACAGGTAGACTCAACCAGCTGCCCCGAACAGCGGCCCTAATCACTTGGCATGCCTCAACTTCAGCTACAGTGCGGCCTGAGCCTTTCGTCTTAGTCTTAGTTGCATTTCGCGAGACCCTCCTCCATCGCGTCGGACGCAGCCTGGCAGCAACCGTTGCAGCACTGCTGCAGTGGAACCCAGTGAATGCAGCCACCCAGAAGCAACAAGGCAGGGTACGAGCTATTTGTGTCACTGCCTCACACATGTGGCCAGGCCGGGTGAATGAAGATGCCCTTTTGCAGCAAAATCCGAACGAAACCAAGTCCATGAAATCATTCTAAAGTGCAGGATGTATGTACGTACGCTACGACGCAAGCATTCACGCGCACAAGCGCATACACAAGCACACCAAGACATAAGACAAAGGTCCTGACTCCACGCATGGCACGTGTCCCAGTCGCTTTGCACATTGAAAGGGGAGGCAACTTTTCAAGGCCGTGGCAACACCCTGCCTGTGCCTGGCCAATGGTCACCGTCTGTGGCGTCTCAAACTTTGAGACCTGCGGCCGCGGCCTCTCGTCATCGCTGACATCCTGCAAGCAAAGGCGCTGAGACTTTCAAGAGCATTCAAGACTGGCTTCCTTAGACATAGGGGACTTGCAGCGTCTGAGGCCCCCACCAAGCTGTCCCACTTGGAGTAATCCAACATGACCAAAACCAGACCCTGCAACTGGCGCACACGTCTTCTCAATGTCCATAAGACCGCCATCCCAATGCTGTTTGGCTGCCTTGCAGTTTCTTGGCTGTTTTCAGAACTGTTTCTCCGCTGTTCTCCTGGCTGTTGGCTGCTTCTTTAGATCTGCCAGTGGCGACGCTAGTGTCGTCTGTTCTCAGGTCGGGACATGCGGTTTAGGCTAGACACATGGCTTTGGCATGTCTCTCGCTGCCAATTCTGTGCGCACTTGATCCACGCCCCTTTTTCACAAAGCAAGGAGCCTGCATCAGATGCCGCCTTCGATGCCCGAGCGCAGGCTGCTTCCGTAGCACATTCAATGACTCGGGGGAATAACCTTGCAGGCATTTCGATTGAAAACAGGGCTGTGCGCATAGCATCGGTGTCGGGCAGCTTTTGCTGAATTGGGACGTGTGCCTCTCAAACCTGCACTGTTGCAAGACTGGGTTTGATCGAAATCTGTCGAATCCTCGGCGGATCCCTGACTCTTAAACATCCAAGCTTGTGCTGGATCTGTGGCGCGGCGTTTCCGCAGCCACGGGCTGTGCAACTCGAGACGCTCCAATCCCTGCCAGCGCGCACCCGACATACGCTACGCCAACAGGCCGCACTGACAGCGATGGATGTGCAAGGCATTGCTTGCGGGAGTCAATGCCTAGAAATTCTACACACGAACTTCGAGGGAGCATGAGTCCAGCTTTCGATTAGACCCCCGGCCTAACCTGAGCTACCCAAATCCTGAAGCTTGGATTGAGTTTGAAAAACTGCTGAGCTCCAATCAGCCCAACTCATGCTCCCTGAGTCGAAAAAATGTCACCTGTGAACCTTCGATTGCTCGGTTGGAAGGGCATACGCGGCAGCCGAACATGCCAACTCCCCCTCGAACTCTCCGTCTTAGCTGCTTTTGGCGCTATGAAATCTCTTTACGGCCAGCCCCAGACTCGGGGGAAGCCAAAAATTAAGACCAAATGGGCCGTGGCTGCAGCGTGCCATTTCCGGCAACAAGGACATTGAGTCGGCCAGGCTCGCCCTGCGCCAATAGGTGCAGCCAGTCAGCCAGCCTGTACAACGGTGCCTGGCAACCTATGGATGTGCCGCAAAAAATACCCGTACATCACCAATTCAAGCACCCCGATGGGGGCTTAACGCACATCTTTGCAGCCGCAAAGAAGAAGAAAAAGGTGGCTGCTTGTGCCACCTTGTCGGCCGGCTGCAACACCTGCTGCGTCAAATGCGGTGCACTGGGAATCACTGCGCCCAGTCCCCAGCCTCAAGCCAGGAAGACCAAGGGGCGTCGCACCTGAGGCCCGTCCCAGCAAGCACGCTTGTAGCGCATAGGCACGAGCCGGACGTGCGATTGGGCCCGGACATCAATTCCATGCAACTCGCGAATCATGATGTCGCCGCTTGTCCTGACGCACCCATGCGATTCTACTCATGGCCGCCCGGGCCCTTGCCTTCACTGGCACGAAGTACTCGTGGCTGAGGAGCTCCGACGCTGCGGGCCTATGATGTGCTTTCATCCACTTGCCCTGAAGGCTCTTCTTTTTTCAGGCCTCATATCCGGCGAGCGCTGCAGGCAACTTTGCAGCAAGCTCTTCAGGCATGGGGTTGCAGCTTCCTGCGGTACAGTCCGACTTGCGCCGCATGCCACGTGCGTCGCACATTCGCGTGAATCTACGAACCGTTCGAATGTCGTCTCGACTCGAATCTCGTCGCCCGTCCGGTATGGGTGGCATCTGCTCAGAGTAGCCGATGATCCTACCAGCCGACTGGATCCATCGATCCATCTCGATCCGTCAATCCGGCCCCACATGGCCCCATGGCAGGCCTCATGGCAGACATCAGGCCGTCGATGACGCCCTTTCCCCAAGGTGGGTGGGCAGTGATTGCCTCCACAGCCGTGCAGCCAAAGCTCCAAATGTCTGCCTGGCCGGAAAGGCAGGGGTGGTCATCCCAGCAGTTCCGGCATTCCAAGGGTTTGGGCAAAGTGACGCCTTTCTTCCATAGCCTTCCTTCTCCAAAATGACCTGCAAGACACCGCACGGCAGTGCCTAAAGCAGTCGAAATGCGTCACAGGCCTCTGGCGCCATCCACATGAAAGACCCGGTCGCCCGGAAAGACGTGGACATGTCCTCGGCGTCGCGTTTGAGTCTCTCAGAGTCTCTGGGCCTCAATGCGAAGGCTTCCCGCAATGCACTGCTTGGAGCAGCCGAAGTCTGCCAGCTTCACGTTGAAGTCCAAGTCCAAAAGCCTGAGGGAAGGCAGAGAAAGAAAAAAGAAAAGAAAAAAGCAAATGCACTCTCTTCTCGAGAATGCGCGACATGTGAAAGGCTATAGCGTGTCAGGTGACACATTGGCGCTCTTGATGTCTCGGTGGACCACCACGGGGTTGCGTGTGTGAAGATACACCAAGCCTGAAGCTGGGAACGAACGTGAGCTACGCGGCCATTTTCCGACCCGACACTCACGGCCTTGGAGCATTCCGAGGATCGTGTTCCGGAGCAATGGTCCTTGACGCGGGCCAGTGGGGTCGGTGTTGCGAAACGAGCTGAGGGAAGCCCAAGTCCTTCCAGCGCCCCAAACTCCTTCAGCAGCTTCGCTAAGGACCTCGGCTCGGCTTTGGCTTTCCTGGAACCTGACAGCGCTTGGGGGCTCGCCCGCCCTCGGCGAGCTCCATGAAAATGTACCTGGCGGGCTCCCGCCGATGGAATCTGAATGGCAGAGCTGAAGCGCACAGAGTCCCGCCAGTGTACTCGTGCCCCAGGTAGCCTGCAGGTGCTGGGTGCCCGGCGCACAATCCACGCAGCTTCCCTGATGTATGGCCAGTCACTTGCGACGGAATGACTCGTTTGCGAGGATTGCTTGATTCACACTTAGCCAGTCTCGTTGGGTTTCACTCATCACCTGACGCACATACGGCGATAAACGGGGGGGAGGTTCGGGGTAGGGCCCATCTTGTACTTTGCATGCCGTGAGCCGGAATCAATGTGACCAAAAAAACATATCTTCCCTGCATGGGGTGTGGATAACTTACAGGGAGCGTGACGCAGCGTGATTGCACTGAGCACTGCTGGTTTGTGGGCGAGGGTGGGCCCTGTGCTGCCTTTGTGCTTCTGTGGTTGCCGTTGCTTCCAACAGGTCCACTCATGACACCCAGCCCCCGGTAGTTTTGTGCGTTTGCGGCTCGCAAATATTTGAACATGTCCTCCTTGTTGGGTGGAATTTGCCGCACATATGGCACGCCAAGCAAGCCAGTATACATGCTCCTCGGTAACGCCGGTGCTTCCTCACGCTGTGATGGACCTGCTGGCGGAGGCTCGAAATCGGAGAGGCACGCATGCGCCTGCACGAAATGCAGGGACCTCAGGCTGCTGCCGTCTCCGGCGCCCTAGTCGTCGGGTGCCGGGGGCTTAATTGCATGCGGCGCTTGCACGGCGGGGCGTCGTTCTTGCTTTGCGCAGCTTCCGAGCAAGCGCATCCATGCTGCTGGTCGTGTTGGGCCTGGTTGGCACTACTTGTAGCGTGTATAGCGGCCACGGTGTTTTCACGGATACTTGATATACATATATATATATATATATACATATATATATATACATATATATATATACATATATATATATATATGCTGAACGTGCTCACAGCCATGTGCATGGAACTAAATGCTTCTGACTTGACATAACATCCAGTTTCCTGTTGCTGCGCTCAGGGGCCAAACCCCATACAAAGTCTTGCTTAACCACGCATGCAGTCCGCATGATATGGAGTCTTCCGCCAAGTCTAAGTTGGCCGCCACAGTGAGGGGACAAACACTGAGGATGACAAGCAAAAAACAGAGTCACGAGCGAGGGACCGACCCTTCCCTTGTCCCAAATCTGCAGATCAAGTCGCAAATAATGTTGGGATGCCGCAGCGATCTGAGGATGTCCTTGCAAAGGGTGGCAAGCAAAGCCAATTTTCAATCAGAGCCGAGCGTCAGCCAAAGCGCTTGCAATTGCAAAGGTCACTGCAACCTCTGCCTGCCGCCAAGTGTCCAGCTCTTCCCTCAGCTTTGCCAGGTACTTGCGATCCTCCTCGTCACTCTGGGTGACCTGCCACCCGGCCCTATTTGGAGGCTGAATTTGTGTCACTGAATGAATGACCCCTTGTAGGATCAATGGTGCGAGACAACGGTGGCCAATCGCAGGCAGGCCCACAGGGCACTACCATCGCCTGGTTTAAGGCTATGCCGTTCTGCCGATCAAGGAAACATCTCGAGCTGCGCTTGGGAGAGCTCCCAACATCTGTCTAACATCTTGACGGACCACGTTGGTCGGAACCGGCCTCCCCAATCTCCCAGAAGATGGAACGGGCACCCCACAATCGTACCACCTTCCCCATTCCAGATACAAACCTCAAGCAACCGATATCTTGCACCTATCAGCACTCTTTGCAAACGGAGACTGGGTTGCAACAACAAACCAAGCACCAGAACGCATCCTTGCCAAAAGGCCGCACAGCCACATAAAGCGGTGCTGCTGCCATTATGGTTTTGCTCCATCACAAGGCAAGGCGGTGCAAGCAGAGCTTCGCGAAGAATGCCAGCGAGGCGGTAGACTTCTTCACCGCGAAGATGTAGCCGTTGTCGATGTCAAGCGCACGCGCGACAGAACCGTAGGAGCCCTGTCCTGCAAGACTGCAAGACGATGGCCCTCAGCAAACCCGCCCCACTGGTATAGCGCTTGTGACACCTGGCCTATTTGTGCCCCTGATCGCCAGTTCTGGATCATCCTCGGCGGAGATCCGGATAAGGGCAGTGAAAGCCCTCTTGGCCAACGCGACAAGCTGCACAGCAAAAAGTGAGACACACAAAGAAACAGGACACTGCAGCCAAGCCACAGGCACGCGCCAGGAGTGGAAGCAGAAGTGCTGGGGGTGTGCACAGCCGAGGCCGACACCTCCGGCCTCGGCTTCGGATGCTTCGGATGCTTCGGCTTCGAATTCCTGCATTGGCTTTGTTCGAATTGGGCCGCGGACAGGCTTTCACTGGTGGAGCTGTGCGGAGAGCAGGGCTTTGCCTTCGGCTCATCCGCAACAAAACTGTACGGATGTCACAATGCATCGCCGACGGCCGGCCTCCGACTGCGGCGAATCCATCCGCCTTTGTAGCCGCATGGTCGCGCTGGTCGCCTTCGCCCGGGGCGGAGTCTGCAGGGTTTTCAAGGACAAGCTGTCTGCGAAGTCTCGGCTTTTGCGGCAAAGGCACTTCGCGGTCCTCCTGGATGTTCCTTCCGGCGCCGGACTCAACACGGCGCTGCGCGAAGTCCGCCAAGGCGCTGCAACGCGCTGGAGGGGCAGGTCTTCGTGCGCTGCTTGCGCCTGGCGTGACGCCGCGTGGTGCCCTCCGCCTGGCGACAAAGCACAGTGCCGCCAGCTCAAGCTATGAACGCTGGTGGAAACATGTTGTGATCCAGCATGCTCTTGGTCATTTCCCCGGTTCTGTGAGAAACGCCGCTTATTCCAGTGGTTTCCAGGCCAGGCCCGAAGTTCCCAACGGCTGAAAGCCTTGGGGTCTGGGCCGAACAACACCTCAGAGTCTCCAAGGGAGTTCCCAGCTCATGCATGCAAGAAACAAGGGCGAAACAGCAAGTGATTGGAGGTGCTCGCTCAAGTCCAACACGCGTGAACAACCGCCGTATACGTGTGTCCGCGCAAATGAAGTATTCATGATGCACTCAACACATCTTCAACCTACCATACCCCCCATCTAGCTTTGCTAACCGCAAGAACACAAACACACCCAACAAAACAGAAAGATCCTTCCGCTTTACCCACACGCGAAACAAAACCAAGGCGTCCGGAATGAGCGACCAGCCGCTAGCCCACCTCCAGGTCTTGGCGGGCAGCGAGCGCGTCAGCTTCCAGCGCCGGGCATGTCTTCGTGCGCCGAGCCCTCGAGGCACAGCGCTCGCGCCACAGCGCTCGAATCCGAGGCACGAGTGCCACAGGGAGGCATATTAGGCACACCCCGGCCTGCGCTCCAACTTTTGAGGAGACGACCTGGCAACGTGCACCATCGGCCCCCCCATCGGCCCATGCCGCACCATTTGTTTCGTTCTACGTTTCAGTTGAACTGATGCGGCAAGTCATCTGCGCGACCGGGATCTTTTTGCTCCGACTCACTTGGTCCTCGCTGCCCTGAGCCCTAAGAGTGGGCCGCTTGCATGGTGCGGAGTACCGAATTGATCTCGTCGTCACTTAGCCCCGTCCCGGCGTGCATCAAAGCATCTTGCCTTCGCGTGACGCATCAGGCGGTACATTCCCTTCACCCGTCTGCAACTGAAGCGGAAACAAACACCCCAGACCCCAAAAACAGTTCAAACCCGGCTGATGAAAACTCACGCCTTCAACGGACTATCCAAAGCCTCTATCCAAAGCCTCTATCCAAGGTGCATTTCAAGCCGGGCCGTAAGCGCCCAAAAAACATGACCAGGTCGGAAGAAACTCAGCCCTACAAAACATGTTCGCACACGGAATACAAGGGGCTCCAACCACATTCTCGACAGTTTTTATTCCTGCCGTGGCTGTGACTCTTTGTCACCGGTGCTGCCTGAACTTCTGGCCAAGAGGCTCCGCAGTTGATAGCCCCAGCTTCTTGGCGGCCTGCTATCGCACTTCGCTCTCGCAAATCCCCATGGCTTCGGACATGCAGCGCAGCCGCGACGGCGAGTTGCGAGTTTCGGCCTGGACCAGATTGGAGATGCCTTGGTCCTGTGTCAAACAAGCAGGAAAGCATGAAAGCCCCAGCCATCCGGCTGTCCTGGCTGATCGGCGTCACTCCGGGCACAGCCTTCGAGGATAGGCAAGGACGTCACCCCGAGTCAACAAGCTTCAGCGAGCCTGCGCCGAAGCGACCACTGCGGCGGCAGCGATTTCCGCTTGCTGCTTCTCGGTCATTCCTAGGGAGAGAGGGAGAGAGAGGCTCCGCCCCATTTCGCGGATCCGTCTCCTGCCTGCTGCAGCTGCGGCCTTGACCACTTTAGACACTCTCTCGGCAGCTGGAAGGCCAACATCCGGCTGCGGCCTCAGGCGCTCAGAGAGCGCTGGACTTCTGGATTCTGCCCTGGAGATTTGTGGCCGGGCGTCGTCGTTGCAAAGTCGTGTGCAGCAGCACGCAGCGACCTTGCAGCCGCCTCCAAGATCGCATGAAGGCGCCGCGTGTGTCCGGCCCACGGGTGAGCCACTAACTTGTGATGACGTGTGATGACACAAGCCCAGCAGGACCGCACGGCGTCGCAAGAAGAAAAAAACAACCTCGCCTGCTGCTTCTCTGGCGTCATAGTCATGGCCTCCTCCTTCACCTTCTTGAGCTTATAGATGTCCTGCATTCGGCCCAATTTGGACGCCTTGAGCTTCCCAATGACCCGGAGACCCCCGGCCTTGATGCCAGCCTCCTCTGCGGCTTCCACAACCATCTTCACGCCATCGTAGGTCGTCTAAGCTTCAAGGCTTGAGGCGTTTTACGCACAATGTAAAACGTTGAAAGCAGTTTCCTTGGAACGTTTCAGTGCGTAACCCTCTATGTTTGAGTGACTTCGATTGCCACAAGCAAGGCACGCCAAAACGACCGTCACGCGTCAGATTTATGAGGCTGCCAGTGACCTTCAGGCCTTACTGGCCAAGCATCTGTGGTTGTCGAGTGCTCGTATGCCGCTTGAGCGGAGGCAGCCGCTGCAGAAATGACCTCTCAGGCTGAGCATCTAGAGCACAAAGTTATCAGCCGAAGTTGAGAAAGAGCTGTACTCACATGCACAGAAATAGAGTTCGAAACAAATTGCATGTATGTATGTATGTATGTATGTACGTATGTACGTATGTACGTATGTACGTATGTACGTATGTACGTATGTACGTATGTACGTATGTACGTATGTACGTATGTACGTACGTACGTACGTACGTATGTATGAATAGATAGATAGATAGATAGATAGATAGATAGATAGATAGATAGATAGATGGATAGATGGATAGATGGATAGATGGATAGATGGATAGATGGATTGGATTAGATTAGATTAGACTAGATTAGATTAGATTAGAATAGATTAGAATAGATAGATAGATAAGTAGGTAGGTAGGTAGACAAATAGATACTATATAAATGTGTATATATATAGACACATGTGTGAATGCATGTGTGCGTGTGTGTGTGTGTGTGTTGTGAACACGACGTATGTCAAATGTAAGCGCACGCATGTACTCTTAGTGCGCCTGCAACTTCTTCTGCGGGCTGACCGGCACGTCGTTCAGCACCTGACAGGGCCAGGGTAGCAAATCATTTGCTTTTTCTCATCCCAGCGCCTGAGTCACAGTCTCTGCGACAATCTTGGCGGCGGGGTTCTCTCCTTGCAGGTGAAGCTGCATCAGGGACGAAGGGCACAACCTTCAGCCAAGCCAAGCAACCATCGTAGTCTGCCAACTGCTCTGGCGGGGGCGTGGTGAAAATCCTCGGAGGCAATGCATGTGGTCCACGCGACGCTACAGTAGCACGGTGTTCAGGCTTCGCATGCCACGCGGGAATCCAATTGCGTCCTTTGTCCAGCTGGAGGACATGGTCTAAGAGTCTATCAACTGAACTTGCCGAGCAAGGCGCGCGGCTGCTTTCAGCACTTTGACCATTGCCTGCTTCTCCTCCGTGGATTCAGCATCCAGCACGGCCGCCTGAGACAGTGAGTCGCACATGGCAGGTCTGCACCCAGCTGTGATCCAGTCGGTCTGTGCGGCAAGTCTCCATCCCTGTCTGCTTCTTCAGGGACAGGCCAGCATCTTCCGCAGCCTGCAGGGCCTCACTGATCACGGCCGCGGGACCTGCACAAACGTGGGAGCCGCGGCTGCCTGCCCACGCCCGAAGCCGGCCTGTGGTGGTCATTGCTGCGACGCTGGCCACCGCTGCAGCTGCAGCCGCTTCTGCCTCAAACGTCTCAAAGTCTCTCTCATTGGCGCGAAAGTGGGGCATCATCTCAACTGTGCCAATTGCCTGCTGCTCAACACTGAGTCCAGCATCAGCCGCCGCATCCACAACCTTCACCACCTGCCCCGAGCTCCCGAGTGCCCCGAGTGCCCCGAGTGCCCCGAGTGCCATGCCCCCGAGCCGGCATTTAGCGCCAGCGTTCTCGTTGTCTTCACGTGGGTAAACACAGAAACACCCACGGCAAGTCGCAAGGCGCCTTGACGGGAGCCTTGCTGTCTGCGTCCCGTGTTGCCATGCCCACCGCATGCCAAACAGCCAGAATCGCGCCATAGTACTGTGGATCGACCTGAGATGCCAAGCTCACCGGCCAACATTCGATCAAGCCCAACTGGACACGAGGTTGAATCTTTGCCGGGCTCATGGCAACTGCTCAAAACAAAAGCGCGAATAACTCTTTAGTGCCTATCAACTTCACGGCACCTGGCTGAGCTCTGCCACAAGACTTGCGGTGCAGCCGCGTCACTGTCCCCAATGATGGGGCCAATTTGCTGACCAACACTGGCGACAAGCCGCACTCTGCAGCCTCAAGGCACAGGAAACCAAAACCTCAAAAAGAGGCTGGCGTGGCGGAACGAATCAACGGATTCGCAGCCGTGCGCCAAGTGGCTGCTTCTGCGATCGCCTGGCAATATACTCGGAACAGTCAAGACTACTGACGGTCCCTCTACCCCGCCTCTGGCGAAGCATCCATGGGCAAATTCCTTGCCGCGGCCGCCGCCGCGGCCGCAGATGCCATTTCCTCTGCCACTGGCAGGTTGGCCTTCCTGGCATGGCCATTGGGGGAAAAATGATGCGAACCTTCACCAACAGGCCCAACCGCCGAACGCCAAACCGCCAAATCCTGGCTGTGAGGAGTCATGGAAAGAGCTGCATCTTGAATCGTCTTGGCTCCGCGAACGAGGCCCTGCCTGGATGCTGCCACGACCGCTTCCACGACCTTGCTGGAGGCGGAGCTGTCGCGAGTGGCCTGCGCCACCACTGGCCGAAATCCACCGACATCCGGACTAAGCCGAAATCCACCGGATTCGTGCAAGGCGCCGCGGGAGGCATTGCCGGTGGCATTGCCATCGGTGCTGATGGGATCCTTGGGGGCTGGAAGCTTTGCACAGGAACGGCGAGCCATGGCCCACGTGGGCGATCACTCAGTTCTCCGGTGCATTCAGGGCACGGCATCGCTCCAGGAAATCCTGAGACCTGCCATGCGACACTCTGAGCCGCTTGACCTCAGCTGCCCCCTGGAGCACCTCGCCTTTGCTGGAGCCGCTTCGTTGGCAAAATCCACCGGGATCTCTGGCGCTGGCATTTCTCCTCGGAAGCACACGTGTGTTGGCAGGTAGGCGGGGGCGGGCAGGTGGGCACGCGGGCAGGCGGGCAGGCGGGCAGGCAGGGAATGGCGCTGGGCATCTCCGTCTTGCAGGCAAGGCACGTGGAATGGACACTGATGCCTGCCATTCATCCAATACACTGCGCCATGCTGAACATATGCGGTCCCGCTATGACGAACAGCTATGCCCTGGCACCTAACCCTGTTGCCAGCTGCATGCTGCTGAACGGCCATAAAGGAGCTGCACTAGAAACTGCAAACGAAAGCTCGCGCAAGGGCAAAAGCTTGACATATCTAATGCAGGAACATTGAGTCAACTTGCATGAAAAAAGCACTTGCATCAAAACAAGAACAACAGCAAAAAAAGAAAAAACGAGACGAGCAACAAGGCGTCTGTGGTGTGTGGTGTGGTGTGGTGTGGTGTGGAGTGTGGGGTGTGGGGTGTGGAGTGTGGAGTGTGGGGTGTGGGGTGTGGGGTGTGGGGTGTGGGGTGTGGGGTGTGGGGTGTGGGGTGTGGGGTGTGGGGTGTGGGGTGTGGGGTGTGGGGTGTGGGGTGTGCGGTGTGTGGTGTGTGGTGTGTGGTGTGTGGTGTGTGGTGTGTGGTGTGCGGTGTGCGGTGTGCGGTGTGGGGTGTGCGGTGTGCGGTGTGCGGTGTGGGGTGTGCGGTGTGCGTGTGCGGTGTGCGGTGTGCGGTGTGCGGTG